TAAATTAATTGTGATCCTTTTTTACAACTCTACGAAATCTGAAAAGTAGAAAAACAACAAATTTCAGTTTTTGGTATTTTATAAAGCATGAACTATTAATTTGTAGTTTAGTATCAACAACAAACAATAATAACCAACAACAAACAAGTTCAATCAAACAACAACAAACAAGTTAAACCAAACAACAATAACAAACAAGTTCAACAAAAAAAACAACAAATAAGTTCAACACATAAGTTTTTCAAAACAAAAACGAAAATTAACCTTCTAAAAGTGGGTTCATCGGAATAAAGTTTCGTCACCAATGAGAGAGAAAGCAAAATGTGCCTATGAAGGACAAGAGCACGAAAATAATCGGTTAAAACAAACAAAAATCATACATAAAGTAGTTAATTAACATGCATTTGTATCAAATGAAAGAAAGATTACATGTGATACTCGTCAAACTTCGTTCGAGAAAAATTTGAGAAGAGAAGAGGCTATTGCGCGCTAAGATAAAGTGAATGAATTTTCAATCTCCCGCTCAAATTTTGATTGAATTCACTAACCTTTTGACGTCGAATTTAAAGGGCATTCGATGTTTTATATCCTTTTATGTCGAATTACAATTCTAAACGACGTTTAATAATTGCATTTATTTACAAAAAGGCCCCTACTCATTTTTAATGTTGGTTATTCAGTGGTTGGACGTTGAAAGCGTGACGTTATACGCTGTTTTTGTACTAGTGATTCATATGTGGAAGCTTGGGATAAACTATAAAACTTTGACTTTTTTTCTCGTGTATAAATAATGACAAGAAGGAATGTTTGACTTGTATTTTAAAACTTTTTAAGATTTTTGAAATGTATAGTCAAATATCAAACAATCCAATGGTTTTAAGTTGACAAACAATTTATCAAAAAATATTTTTTAAAAATTAGTTCTTAATCTCTCCTTCTTTTGTTAATGTGGTGCAATAATATACAATAGATAAGGATAAGAGAAAGAAATATTTACTTTTTAATTTTTATATTGGTTTGTCTAATAACACAAATTATGTCTAATACTTAATCAATTAATTATCTCGTGACATAGGTTAAGTGAGTCAAGTCACAATCAAATCGTAGTGTGTGGATCGTTACACTTTTAAGTAAAAATAATTTCACCTTAACTATTAGATATAAATTTTGGCAAGGGGCAAATGTTTGATCCAACATAGTCACTTCAGACTAAAAAACCAAAGTATTCTTCAATAGATCTTTCATTTAGATACTTCATTGTAAGATCCTCTTGTATAAATGAAGGGATGAACATTTCCTGAACGCATGGAATATGCATTTATAAATGTTTAATGTGTATCATTGAATGCTTTAATCTATGTATACTAATCGTTTGTCCAAATGAAAACTTATAAGGAAAAGTTATATAAGAAAAATGTTCATAAAATGTTTTTCATAATTTGTTATTAGACATAGTCAAAATCAAATATAGTGTTACATGTTTTTACAGCTGTGTGATTAACCTTAAGAAAGCATGACAACACTTCTTATATTGGAATTAACCATTTTTTGGTAGACATAAGAAACTAGACAAGAAATCCTTTAATACAATAATTCGCTTACAAGTTACCTTGTCATTTTACTATAAAACAATCTTTATTAAAAACAATATTGTATAAATTATATGACATAATTAACTTATGACAAACATAGTACATTCAAAACCTTATCCTAATAAGACATTGTATACAACCTATTCTTCCATTGCCAAGGTAATTAACCAACTTTTAAACTAATATAATAAAGTTCTTCTTACAAGTATTAAACAAATTTGTAATAAGAACAATTTGAAGTTTAATGACTCAAATAATCTTATATTCTTCTTATTATTTTTTTTAAGAGCTTAAAAATTAATCACATAATAAAACTACTATGTATTAAAGATTTTGAATGACATATTATGACGTGTAAGAATAAAAGAAAGCAGAAAAAATAACACTACCATTCTTATCTTCTTTCCGTTTTCTTTCTTTCTCTTTCTCAAACTAATTTTTGTTCTTCCTTTCTCTCTCAAATTCATCTCTAATTCATGTCTATTTCAGATTATGTGTTTTTGTGTGGATGTCGTGAATGTAGTAACTCCTAAGGAGATAGTACTACATTGATATAATGATAGGAGGTGTATTAAAAAATAGGTTTAATAGCCAATTTAGTCCTCACTTTGGTTGAAAAATCTCAATTTAGTCCCTCGTTATAAAAGTGTTTTGAATTAGTCCTAACTTTTAAAATAGTGGGTCAGATTGGTCCTTTCTGTTAAATATAAGTTAACAAAATTAATGGATGATGATGTGACACAACTTAAAGCTAACGAGGGACCAATCTAAGACATCAGCTTTAAGCTGTGTCACATCATCATCCATTAATTTCGTTAACTTATATTTAACGAAAGGGACCAATCTGACCCACTATTTTAAAAGTTAGGACTAATGTAAAACACTTTTATAACGAGGGACTAAATTGAGATTTTTCAACCAAAGTGAGGACTAAATTGGCTATTAAACCTAAAAAATATTTCATATAGAAACTATATTGACTTTTCTATTATGAGACTCATGTAAAGGAAGATATCTGGTTGTGAGAATTGAAGTAGATTCCTACAATTTGAAACTTTAATATGAAAAAGGAGAAGACCTTGTAGATTTAAGGAATTTATCTTGGTCAAGAGTGAGTGTGGGTCATATTCATTACCGGTGGAAGTGACTTATGACAAGTGTAAAGTCTCTCAATCTATTCATCACAGTGGTCTTCCAAATTATCATGTTATGATTGAGCCATAAGGGTTGAATAAAAAAGGTTGTGCTGTGTGATAGACTTTTGATTTTGAATGCAAATTGTATATTTTGAGTTAATGGTGAATTGTTATATGTAATATTGTTAAATTTTCACTAACTATCCTTTGTTTCTGTAGTATCATGATATGTACGTTAGTAATTATTATTAATGATGTAATGAACAAATTGATAATAAGATATCAACTAATTTAAATCCTCACACATTTTATTTTTAAGAATTATATCGTCTAACCTGTTTGTGTTTCTGATAATTCATGGCTTTAAAAATTGAATATTATGTTTGTTTTATTCAATAACTTCAAGACAATTTAAAATAATTTAGAATACCTTAAACTATTTAGAGAATAACTTAAAATGAAATTATATGAAGGGTTTCATCCTATGCCAAATATATATAAACTACATTATGATTGACTTTTTCAAGAATACATTTTATTTTATTCGGATTATTAGCATGAGACATTAAGCTATACATAAATTACACAGTTGAGATTGGAATAATTAAATAACTTCAATTATTTTGGTCCAACTAAGGCACAATGTATGGTAGTGTAGGTTTAGACGAAATTTAAAATTTTGTAGATTTTAAGTTGTTTAATTTAAAATTATTCAGTTAAATTGTGTTTCAATTAAAATTAATATTTGGAGTAAATAGTGCATACACTATCGTCTAATTACAATGCTATGAGAAAATAATATAATTATAACTTATCATGTATAATAAATTTAGCTTAAAATAATATGTTAATTTTAATTTTTGATTACTTCTATAAAAGTAATTTTTTGTAATTGATTTTATAAAATATCAAAGCGATGGTAAATCAACTGTATGGTTTATTAAATAGGTCAGATTTTTTTTTTAAAAAATAAATCTACAGTTACATATTTTTCAAAGTTTTTCATGAGTTTCTTATCCATGTAACACTCTTCAACACCTGAAAAACTAAACGTAGGTGTTTCTTTAAACATCGTTTTAATTAGTAGTTTTTTACTTTGCTCAGTTTCCTTTTTACAAATTCAACTCTTGTAGGATATAATTAATTTCCTTTAAATGCGTATCAAGTCAGTATTGAATACTAATTATTAACGTGTTATTGAGTGAAATCATGCCTTTAATTTACATATTAGTTATTATTAAAATTAAGCATTTATTTTAAAAAATAAATTTCGTAAAAGTAATTATGGTTGAATATTAAAAAAATTACATCAAACTTTTTACAATTTTATGTCGATATCAAATATACACTTTTACTTTGATAATGAAAAATATAAAGAATATAGCATTTTAGGAAGTAGAAGTGTGGAAATGAAGAAAAAAAATTGGGAACAACCGAAGCCATTATATACTTAAAAATTGCGTCCAGAAATTCTAACTCCTAAAATTTATTTGCTAAGTGGAAAGAGATGCTCAGTATTAAAACTAATGGATGAAAAAAAAATGAAAACAAAATAAAAAAGAACAAAAAGAGATAAAAATGAAAAAAAAAACGAAAAATAAAAAAAAAAACACACTAGTACATTTTTAAATCTACGTTTAATAATCATTTTGTCCTAAATTTTATTGAAATTATTTAACGTAATTTTTTTGTCTAAAGAGTTAATTTAGCTCTTTCATTAAATTAATATTGTTATTTAGAGAATAATAACATGATAAAATAAATGATAATGTGACATAAAAGTGAGTCGGCTTATCTAATATACTTGGATTTATACCATGCCACATATTCTCCTAACAAAAAAGTCATATTAACTTATTTTTTAACAGAAAGAAAAATTGAAAAACCTATTAAATAATTATAAATTAAAATAAAAATAACTATTGAATCCAATTTTTCTATTAACAAAAGTAAAACCAAATTAATATTTTCTAATATGGAAAAAACCAAACATGGAAATCACCTAATTAAACAAGTTAATCACCGAATAATGAAATTAGGCAGAAGTGATGAAGATATTTAAGTTAAAGATTGGAGTGAGAGTGTTGGGTTTGGTATGACACATGATATGATACCAACAACAGATCATATGATAACAATAACAATTTGCGAGAAGATAAGAACAGGTACAACATTTACGGATACATAATAGTGGTTACTTACACGTACCTACATACGTTATTATAGTTACCGAGGTACGTACGAGTAACGTTGTTGCTGTTTTCCATCCCATCCCATGTATAAAGCAAAAACAGCAAAGCTGAGTCGACAAAATACACCACCAACACTGAACAGTCTCTTTCTTCTCTCTCTCTCTCTCAAGAAGTTGAAATTCAAAAAGTAAGTCTTATAATATAATACACTCCACACCAGCACCAACACCAATAACAGCACAATTTTCAAGGCTCACGTGCCGCCCCATCGCCGTCACGCGCGGCCTTTATGAATCATCGTCGCCATGGGCGGAGTCACTTCCTCGATCGCTGCCAAGTTCGCGTTCTTCCCGCCGCAGCCGCCATCTTACACGGTGGTCGCCGCCGAGAGTGGTGCAGAATCTGGGCCGCCGAGGCTTGTCATTCCCGAGGTGCCGATCAAGGACAACGTGGACGTGCTCAAGCTTCGGACGCGCCGAGGTAACGAAATCGTGGCGGTGTATGTTAAGTACCATAGACCCACCTCCACCATGCTCTATTCTCACGGTAATGCTGCCGATTTGGGCCAAATGTTCGAACTTTTCGTCGAATTGAGCAACAGGCTTCGCCTCAATGTTATGGGGTACTCTTCCCCTTTTTAGTTTTAATAATTTCCTTTTAAAAAAAGAGTAAATTCAGCTTGATGTTAATGCTGCTGTGTTTGGTTTTAATTTGTTTGGATGTTGTTTGCATTAATTTGTTGTCTGCAATGATCTTGGAGGAACGATAATGTTCTGTGCTGTATTTAATTGGTTGGCCTTTTTAACTTTAATAATTGAAGTGTTGAGTTGTTTTTCTTTAGAGAATTAATTATTATTTTGCTATATTAAGCATCTGGAGGAATTTCTTTGATTAAGCTTCAATTGAATATTCTTGATTTGCTTTCCCGAGTTTTAGATGATATTGCTTTGTGGTTGGAGTTGGAGTTGGAATTGAAATTGGTAATGGTTAGTGTTTCTGTGGTGGATATGAAGGAAAAAGGTGATCTAAGGAAGGTTCTGTTTTCTTGAAGGTAAAGGGTAATTTTGGGGAATTGTAATGACGGCTGCGGAGTTAAAGAGGAAGGGATAAAGGAGTTGACTTTTTTCTAGAGAAGTCAGCTGCAGTAATGAAAAATTTGATTGCTGAAAGAATATTCTTTTCCTGTTGATGATTTTTGGCATAAAAGATAATACTGAAAGAAAAAGTTGAGTTCTGTCCGTGTGGTGTTGAAATTTGAAAGTGCTGCTGCATATTCTCTTGCCTTCTTAGCTTTACTATTCTGAAGAGCTGAAGCTGGATCTGCCTTGCTGTCTTCTTTTTTATGATGTGATGATTAGGCTGCCTGTAACATGTAACTTTGGGTGGATTATTTTTCTTTCCATGTATGATGAATTTTAGCTGTTGATATATGGAGCTTCCCTCTGTCCCTGTGTTTAATATTGACTAGTAATTAGGAAATTGGAACTTGCTGTCTCAGTAAGTCGTGATACTGAGTGCTGACTTATGATTTAGAATTTGGTCTGGTTTGTTTTTGTTGACCAAATTATTTTTGTTATACTGTATAGATATCCTAAGTACATGTCAGCGTATACACAATAAAGTATTATGTGTTGTTACTGTTACATGTTCTATTATTGTTAAGCTTGATAGGTGCAGCCTATTACTGTAGTTATTTTGTTACAGTTTCTTGATGTACTTATGTTTTTGTTACTGTTATTTTGTTATTTGTAAACTGTTACTGTATTTTGATACAGTGTGTTGTAGCTGAGCTACAATGCAGATACAGTTTCAGTCCTTCAGTTAGTATACAAAGTTTATTCTGTCCAAGATAACACTTTTGAATACTTTAGCTTTAATGAATAGATTTTCTGTCTTAGATGCTGTTAAATATTTTCTCTTTCTATTACTTTTTCATGTTTTCTTTTTCCATTGCTTCGTAATATGAGCTAATATTTGGTCCTTGGTTCTTGCTACCAAAGCTTCCATTGATGTTGTTTCCATTTTATAGAAAATTATACTCCATATTTGTACTGGCTACAATTTCTCAAACTTTCTCTGTTAAACTAGATGGGAAAAGTTTTCTTGTGGGAAATTGACAAAGTGAAGGAGTAATTTGAGGCCATCAACTACAAAATTATGTACACAATTTGACAATTCCTTTCAGATTCAGAGCCAAAGATCTTGATCAAGGCCTAGAGAATATAAGCTATATTGAGTAGGAGTAGCAAGATTCTCTTTTCTTTACTTGGCTCCATCCTCAGTTTTAATTCCCTTATTCCCAAGACTGTAGGATGGATTTATTCTTGCGAAGTGTTAGGAGTTCCACATTGAGTAGGATGAGCTACTTGATGTGGTACTTAAGTCTGTAGATTCTTTCACCTAATGGACTAGTCTTTTGGGTTGGGCTCTCTTCTTGTGCTTAAGTCCTAATAATTGGTACTTTCATTAAGTGTTGGGTTCTGGTAGAGTTACCTATAGGCTGCATTAAGTTATAAATTGAATATTGATTGATGATTGAAGCCATCTTAGAGAAAAGGGCTACCACTTGTCACTTTAGAACTAAATTGAAGAACATCAAGAAAGGGTTGATCACATATTGAATATGTACTAGAATAAAAGCTATTGTTAATTCCATTCCTTGCTTTTGATTGGAGATTCTGTCTCTGCTCAAGATCAATTTGGTTCAATTATGGAGGTTTCCTTAATGAATTTGTTGTTTACATTGTTGCTGTGAGTAGTACACTTGTCCTATTCCTTATCAATGAGATTAATTATTGATTGTTTTCCTTGTTATTGTATCCCCATTACAAATAAGAATACTCATATACACAACACATATTTCAAGCAATCCTTTTCATAATATACACGCACAGTCACACTCAAACTTTTAATGTCAATAATCCTATAGTTTGAGCTTGACTCATTTATATAATCAAGCTTAAGTTAATGAACTAACGAGCTTGAATGTTACTTTTACAAGTTGAATTTGAATAATATACTAGTAAATCAACTTATATTACTAATTGTAACTATCTTGAAGATATACTTGGCCTGAAGTTTTGATTGAGTGGTAAAAGAAAATGTGTGGAGAGAGAGATAGCTGTTGTTCACTTAAGTCATATTTGATCATGGAGAATAGTGCTTTGGCTGAATTTCACTTGGAAATCAGGTTGCAAATGTATTTTCTATCAGAATATTACATCTTGAATTTCTGATATATTATTTTAGTAAATAAATATCAGGAAGTTTTCAAGCATCCTCTGTTTAAAATTTCATTAGCTGTGATAATTATTGCTGTAGTGTCCATGCTAATTGTTGCTGGCTTTATCCTTGACTAATTTTGTATTCATTGATATTAGAAGTATTACTCTTTCATTCCTACTCCTGTCAAATAGGCTCCAAAGGTACGAAGAATGAGTAGACCAACTTAAGTAAATTTTGTGGAAGTATGAGTGTTATATTCTGTGCACTCCTTTTAATCATTCATTGGGAATTTGTTATTGTATGTATGTTGTCTATGGCTTATGCTGCCAATAAAGCAAAACATAGCTTGTAATGTTCATCAATATAGTTTTATTCTTCATCAATTTGCCATTCCATATTGCAATTCGTTTATTTTCCTCAGTACATATTTGTCTGTAATTCTTGTAATTGTATATATAAGAAATAAAGTTCTCTCTTGGTTCTTGCCTACATACCGGTTACAATCACATGAATTTAAAAGTGCATAGTGGAATGCTTTTAATCACAGATTCCTCATATGAAAATATTCCCATTTGTCTTTAAATTTCCTTTAATGATAATACTTTATTTGTTCTCATTGATTTATTTTAACAACTTTTCTTTGTACAGTTACGATTACTCTGGGTATGGACAGTCAACAGGAAAGGTTAGTAGGCTTATTTTTCAGCCCATCCAAGTGTATGAGTGGAATGAAGTTGTATGTTTATTACACAACTTTTTAATGTTCTTTTAAATCTTAATGTCTATCGTGTTTTTGACACACTCTTTGTTATTGTAAGAAATGGGACAAGATATTTAAAACTATTAGATTAAAATTAATGATTCAGGTTGTAAATTCAATTACAAATTTTACATGATATTTAAAAAAGGAAGAAGATCATGTGAGATTTATCATATAAGATTAATAATTGCATAAATCATACCACGTTAATTTTGATTATGCTTCAAAGATCAAATCTCTTGATTTTCAACAATATCATATCAACATTAATTGCAAATCAATATTAATTCCATTTTAGAATTCAATACTTCCCCTTAAGTTGGGTCATAGATGTCAATCAAGCCTCACTTGGATATCAGGTTTTCATAATTTGCTCTAGGCAAAAGGCTTGGTCAATATGTCAACAATTTGATGGCTTGAAAGAATGTGCATAATCTAAGGTAGTCAAAATTGAAATCTTATGCAAGATCAGAAAGGGAAACATTGATAGTAAATCGAGAGATTGTAATGCTGATTGTAAGATCCTACAAAATTTATGAATTCATATATTTGCACACACTATTAAATATAGGCATATTAAACATAAATCATTATATCACACATGAAACAAATAATTGCATTTCAATTCAACATGATAAGGAAAACAAATATAAATAAAGTAAGCCAATAGATCCAATTATATAGTAAATACCAGAGTTAAAAAACAATAGCTTCTCCTACTAAGGCAATGGATCCATCCTAGCATGGTTGTCAAAATCAAATTTTGGGGCATAAGATCGTACACGTCTACAATCTCCTCCCCCCCTCCCCCAAATCTTGAATTGCCTCAAAGTTGTGATTTTGGTGAATTGTGCAAAATTGCCATTGTAGATTGCAACTCGTGAGAAAGCAATATTTCTCATGATGCAACTACAACATTCTCTTGGTAGTGTCTCTTCTAGCCTCGACTTTCCTCTAATAGCACCTCTCGCTTCCTTGATGTACCTTACAACGAGTTCTCTTGTGGCCTTAACATACCTTTCAAGAGTGCCTCTCATGGCCTAGATGTTCCTTTTAGTAGCACCTCTAGTGTCATTTCTAGCTCATGATCATGGTAATCAAAATCAAGATCTTATTCAAGATCGAAAAGAGAAATATAAATCTTAAATCGGAAGATCATAACACTGATCATCCTACAAACTTTATGAAATTTATACATATACACAATCATTATATCACTCTCAAAATTCATAATTGAACTTCATAATATATAATAAAGTAATAAATCCTTAAACATGACATCCTAGTTAAGTAAGAGTAACTCCTTCCTAGTTACAAAATTACAAAATAGTAACAAAATAATACTCCAACTAAACCAAATAATTTTGAGTTAAATTCATGATCTGCCGAGAGACCTTCAAACTCCATCATTTCCATAAATATTAATTTTGAGTTGGTTTTCTTGTTTGCTTCTTCTTAGCTAATTTTGAGTTATCCATAACAAAAACATCATTCATGCTTTGCTTTAGCGTATTTCTTCTCTTTGTGTGGATTTAAATAAATGCAAAGACAAATATGGTAAGCAAGTAGTAGACTAGTAATTCTTTTCTAGAGATATATTTTAACATTAACTTACCATCTCAAAGGAACTCCAATTACACTAACATTCGGAGGAGCTACATGTCAAGCTCAATACATGAATGACGAATTTTTGGAGTTCTAGATGCTCATCACCATAAGACTCCCACCAATTTGCTAGTCTTTAAATTTATTGATCTAGTAACCAAGGGACAACCAAAATATTTAGCTCATTTTCTCAAGTCACCAATTCGAATATCATGGAGTGTGTTTTCATCTTTATCCTTCACCATCCTAGTTATAAATTCCATCATAACTCATTTAACTTCTGTTAGGATATAGGGTATTTGGATATAATGGGAAAGGAGATTAGGATAGAAGGCAGAGGAATTGTATAAATAGATTGATTGGATAGTTAGAAGGCAGTTTTTGAGTACATTGTTTGTTGACAGGCCTTAGACTTGTGAAGAGGGTTATGCCTCTGCATCTTGTAAACACACTATTCTTTCTGTTAATAATACACAATTCATCATATATCTCTCTGTTTTCTTGGTGTGAGAGACTGTGAGGGAGTTCTTGGTTGGGTTTCTTGTTCGGAAACCTATCAATTGGTCCGACCTGCCGGATCCCAATTGGAGGAGTGACGAGCGCGTGTGATGGAGGGAAGAGTAGTGGCGGTAGAAGGTCAGTTGGAGGCGATGGAAATCGCAATGGCGGAGACGAAGGCTGGCACGGTGTACCTGCGACATAAAACAGGAGCCTTAAGACAGAACTACGAAGCAATGCGTCAGGATATCCAGGCGATCCTGAAGATGTTAGGGGATCGCAATCGCGACCCAAACGGCCACCGCCAAGGTGGCAGTGAATCGTTGGTGAATGACAACGATGGCGGACCCGACGGAGATAGAGGAAGAAGAGGAGAAGGGAATCAAGAAGGGCTTTCTAATTGGAGGAAACGGGTGGAATTACCGGGGTTTGAAGGGGGCGACCCATTGATTTGGATTAGTAGAGCGGAAAAGTTCTTTGAAGTGCAGAAGGTGGCCGAAGACGAGAAATTGCAATTGGCCTTCATCAGCATGGAAGGGTATGCAGCGTATTGGTTTCGTTTTTGGAGGGAAAAACCAAGAACAATTCTTGGGAAGGGTTGAAAAAGGCGTTGGTGATTAGGTTCAGAGAAGGGGGACGAGGGTCTGTCTATGAGAGGTTGGCCGCCATTAAACAGGTGGGACCGGTGAGCGAGTATGTTCGGGATTTCGAAGTGTTGGTGGGACAGACGACAAGGATCCCTGAAGAACAGCTCCTGGGATACTTCATGGCGGGACTCCAGGAAGAGGTGAGCGACCAAGTGAGGCCCCATGATCTGCAGGACCTAATGACCGCCATGCGAGTCGCGTGTGACGTAGAGAAGCTGTGTTCCCATTCGAAGATCAGAGGCGGACAGTCGACCAAGAATCAGAGCTCTTGGGGAGGTGCGACGAAAGTAGTAACAAGAAGCGAACCTAGTCGCGAGCGCAGGGCGAGGGGGAATCGCTGAGAGCGTTGGGTCCGTAAAGAAAGAGGCGACTCAAGGAGGCGGTACCGCGAAAATCACCGGCGACGAGAGGGAAAGGAATACTTGCAACCTACCTACTTGGAGTTCGTAAAGAGGGTTATGCCTCTGCATCGTGTAAACACACACTATTCTTTCTGTTAATAATACACAATTCATCATATATCTCTCTGTTTTCTTGGTGTGAGAGACTGCGAGAGAGTTCTTGGTTGGGTTTCTTGTTCGGAAACCTATCAACTTCCAAATTTGCTTTAAATCTTGAATGATAATGCATTTGAGGATAGAAATAATCTATAGCTTGCGAAGGTCTATGAAGTTGTTTGTCCCACCTTTCATTAATGATGTTCAACAAAGACAAATAACTAATAAAAATATATTACATTTAAATAGCTTTTTGTTTTCAATTTCAAAATCACTAACTTAATAAACAAATATATAAATTGTTAGATTGAATACCTTTTTTTGATAGCATTGCAAGCCTTTTGTATCTTCTCCCTTAGCTCGGTCCATTGGTTCATAAATGAACCCGTTACCGAAGCACTTCAATTAGTGGCAATGCACCCTTGAAAGAAGTTATAATATTCTTTCAAAAATTCTTTTCTAAAACCACATCTTCAACTATTTTTCCATCATTTTTGTTTTAGCAAACTTACTAGACTTCCATTTGTTACTAGTAAACATTCTAATTGAAGCTCCCTTGTTCTCATGAAAGTACCCTAATGTCAAGTAAGATGTAGCAAAACGAGTAAGATCGGACCTCACCAAATCTCTTCCTTTTGTGACATGTTGTAATACAGAAATTAGAGAACTTCTTGAAAAGGTAGTAATTTCTTTACCTTTTGAATTTGTCTCCTCAGGAATTTAGGATCTTCTTCTCATAATTCTTTAACATTAAGTTAACACAATATGCAACACAAAGCTTAAAAAATAGCCATTTTCCTCTTTGCTATCAACATTTGACCGACAATTTTGTAGTTTGCTCCATTATCTATCACAACTTGAATAGGTCTTCTCTCACCACTTCAACAATGTTATCACTTAAGAAGGATAAACAAGTAATCATTTTTTTAATTTTGACGAATGTGGATGACCTAAGTGATCATGCAAAAGCTTAGGAGATGGGAAGCTAAGCAAGACATCAATGTTCCAGAACCAAGATAGTAGATTTCTCTAGATTCATGTCCTTCACAAATCAATCGACTTGTATCATGCTCTTGTATGACAAGAATTGGGATCAAAGGTAACTAGATAATTGAAGAATTGGATTAATTAACTTAGGGAAATTAGGTTGAAAGGACAATTAGGGACAAGAAGAACACGATTTAGGTTTAAGGACGGGGAAAGGGAGATTTGACCAACTCCTTGCGAAGTAACTTTAGATCCATTGGCTAAAGTAATAACATGAGGAATTTTAGGATAAGAAACAAAAAAGAATAATGAAGCATTTCCAGAAACATGACTAGCAACACCTGAAGCAATTATCCATGAATTTTTACACTCCAAGGCTTGAGAAATGCAAGTTTTGACAAAATGGAATGGGTGAAGGATTGTGCTTGGCAAGAAAGCCTTGTAAAAAGTAACAATTTTCTTGGATGTGACTCATTCTTTTACAATATGTACATTGAGGATGCTCTCCTCTACTGTCGTGACCTCCTTTTTCACAAGTAGAAATTATGGTGAAGAAAATTCCTGAAGGCATGTTGAGTAGACATTCCAAAAATGTAACAAGGTAACTAGGGTTTCAAGATCAAGAGAGAGAAACCTGGGGTTACAAGTGAGAGAAATCCTAATTAGGACAAACAACACTTAGAAAGCTTTA